AGTAGTAACTCTTTTCGATTTCCTATTAACTTGTTTTGAAGTCCTGTAGTACTCCCACGATCTTGTTTTGACTGATAAGACTCTGTTCAATTCTATATGATAGTATCAAGTTTGAAGACATAGGCAACTACTTTGAAGACAATAAGATTCACTAAGATACCCATTCTGGTTTGACTATTGTCTTCTTTGGAAGTCCTGTAATGTTTACAATGCCTAAGTTTTATTGGTCTTGTTCTCTACTGTTTTGTCCAACTTTATAATATCTAATAAGATAGACAATTCTTTTTAAGGAAACAAGGGACAACGTTGATAACCATTGTTGATAAACTTGTACTCTGTTCTACACCATGTGCTATGTCTATCCTTGGTATTGACTGACAGCTTTGTTTTGCCATATTTGACTGTATTCTTCCCCCCCCCCCAAAGAAAGTAATAAGCACTAAGGAGTAATAAAATCCAAGATGTGTAAATTTTGTTGTAAAAAAGAGAGGGAAAAAAAAAAAAAGAAAAAGAGCTCTAACGGATATAACAGCAAGTGTGTTTGGGGGTGTTAAATAGCTGACTTTATCAATGTTTTTGGAACATTGAACACAGCTGTTTGCAGTCTCCCTGTTTGAATGTCCACCTTGTGTTCTTTGATACTGTGATTTGAGGAACTATTTTCAAGAAGATAGTGTGTAATCTACTAGCAGGTAATTTCTTACTGTTATGTTTTTTTGTTTTGTTTTGTTTTGTTTTGTTTTGTAGTTCTGTATTGCGTGTACCCTTACGCTGCTTTGGTTTGTTTTGTGTTTTTCTCTTTTTCCTCTTAAATAAAAAAAAAAAAAAAAAAAAGAAAATAGAGCTCAAATAAACCACCTAAAGTTGAACCCCAAATTTCTAGGAAAAAAAAATCAAACCAAAAGCTCCTAGAAGTGAGGAAATTATAAAGAGCAGAAATTAATGCAATTGGGACTAAGAAAACAATACAAAGAATCAATGAGTAAAGAGTTGGTTCTTTGAAAGATTAAAAAAAATTGATAAACCCTTAGCCAATGTCATCAAAGAGGAAAGAAGCCCAGTATGGTGGCACATACCTATAATTCCAGAACTCAGGAGGCTGAGGCAGGAGGATCATCATGAGTTTGAGGTTAGTCTGGGCTACATGAGTACAAGTTCCAGCTGAATTACATAGCGGGAGCCTGTCTCGGATTTTAAAGTGAAAACTTTCAGTTTTTGTCTAGTTAGTATGATGTTGACTGTTGGTTTGTCATAGGTGGGTTTTATCAGATTGAGATAAAACCTTCTATTCCAGTTTTCTGTATGGTTTCATCATGAATGGGTGTTGGACTTTATCAGATGCTTTTAACAAGCAGTTAGGAATGAAAAGGTGGAAATCATAATGGATCCTACAGAAATCCAGAAGATCATCATTACCTACACTTAATCTGTACATTAAGACAGAAACCGAACCCTCTTTAAAATAAAAAAAATTAATAAAAGACAGAAACAGAAGAAATGGACAGATTCCTAGACACATACGCATTGCCAAAAATGAATCAAGAAGATAAATTCTAATCAACTTGGTATCAGCCAATGTAATTGAAAATGTAATAAAAAACGTACTAACAAAGAAAAGACTACGTCCTGATGGATTCACTATTGAATTCTTCAAAAAATTTAGAGAAGAATTAAAGGCATTAATACTGAAACTTTAGTGAAATTGAAAGGGAAGCAGTACTTCCAGAATCATTTCTGGAAGCATATATTACCTATCCTGATACCCAAACTAAAGAAGGATCCATTAAAAAAGAAAACTATAGACCAATCTCCCTAATGAACATTGATGCAGAAATCGTCAGTAAGATACTGGCAAACAGAATGTAGCAAATCATCAAGAAAATTATATACCATGACCAAGTAGGATTCATTCCAGGAATGCAAGGATGGTTCAACATACACAAAATAATTAATGTAATACACCACATTAACAGAGCCAAAGCCAAATAACATATGATCATCTCAATAGATGCAGAAAAAGCATCTGATAAAGTCCAACATGATGAGCAATGAGAAAAATGAATGTAATAAGAATAGAAAAAAGTTAAATTATTATTTGTGGATGACATGATACTCCACATAGAAATCTCCAGAACTCCACCAAAAGACTTGTAGATTTAATAACCAAATTCAGTACTGTAGTTGGATACAAAGTCAATCAAAAATCAGTACTATTCTCGTGTATACAACGGATTTACTGAGAGAAATTAGTGGAACCACACCCTTCACAATAGCATAAAAAATGAAATACTTAGGAATCAATCTAACAAAAGAAGTAAAAGATCTATACATTGAAAATTATAGTACTCTGAAACGAGATCAAAGAATGTATCAGAAATTAGAAACATCCCCTGTTATGGATAGGAAGAACCAACATAGTGAAAATGGCTATACTCCCCAACTCATGCCACAGATTTAATGCAATCCCAATCGAAATGCCATTAGAATATAGAGCTAGAGAAAATATTCCTATAATTCATTGGAACCAGAAGAGACCTAAAATAGCAAAAGTAGTTCTTCTGGGCAACAAAGGCAAGGCAGGGAGCACTGCAATCCCTGACCTGAAATTACACTACAAAACTACTGTGATAAAATCAGTGTGGCACACACACACACACACACACACACACACACACACACCCCAAAAACAGACCTGATGATCAGTGAAACAAGATGCAGACACAATTCCAACTTTGACAAAGTGGCCAAACATGTTCACTGCAAGAAAGCCACTTTAATAAATGGTGTTGGAAAAACAGGCTTCCACATACTAAAGACTAAAACAAGACCCATGTCTTGTTTTACCATACACTAAACTAAAATCAAAATTGGTCAAAGAGCTAGGCATTAAAATGGAAACACTAAATCTACTGGAAGAGAAAGTAAGTAGAAATCTTGATAGGCGTAGGCAGAGAGTTCATGAACAAAACCGAGCCTGCACAGGAAACACTTCGAAGAATTAACTGAAATCTCATTAAAAATTTTTGCACAGTTCAAAAGACATTACCAACACAGTGAAAAGATAACTCACAGAGTGGGAACAAAAGTTTAGCCAGTTGTTCCTCAGACACAGGTCTTGTATCTAGAACATATAAAGAATAGGAAAATCAGACCTTCAAATTCAAAGATCCAATCCAAAAATGGGCATCTGAGTTGAATGCACACTTCTCTGATGAAGCACTACAAATGGCAAATCTGTGAAAAAATGTTCAATATCACTGGTCAAATGAAAACAACACTGAAATTCGATCTCATCCCAGAGAGAATGGCTGTCATTAAGAAATCAACCAATATCAAATACTGGAGGGGCTATGGGAAAACAGGAACTCTTCTCCACTATTGGTGGGAGTGCAGACTGGTGTGACCACTGTGAAAATCAATGAGGTGATTGCTTAAAAAACTAAGATTAGAGGTCCCATTCAACTCAGCTATTTGTCTTCTGGGTATCTTCCTCGATGAATTAAAAACATCATACCACAGCAATATATGTGCATTCATGTTCACAGCAGCATGACTTGTAATAGGTAAATCTTGGAAACTACCCAAATGCCCATCAACTGAGGAATGGATAAAAAAGATACGATCTTCTCATACAATGGAGTACTACTCAGCCATAAAGAAGCAAAAACTTATAAATGAAATAAATCAAATTCACATGTGTAAATATATTTTCTCTGTGGTGTGAGAAACTGAAAGAGTAAATAAGGTCCACATTATACAGTAGACTGAAATTCGAAAAAATTGTTCAAAAGGAAGAAAGGAACTAAGATGCAGGAAACAGAAGGGGAAACAAGATAGTTATACTATTTGTTTCTCTTAGTTTATTGGAAAGAAAGCTTGTGCTAATGTCATTTGGAGAATTTTTTATGTCCATATCTTCATTGAGTAACTAAAGATAATACGCAATGTATTAACTTGTTATTCTCCTTTTTGTCACAAAATTTTATTTTTTCCACAAAATAAAAAAAGTATATAATGACTAGAAAAGGACATATGCCATTTCTATTTTTCTGATAAATATTTGGGCTTACAAACCGGAGACAAAAATGTGTTGCTTTGGAAATTAGTCAAACCTTTCTGTTGATTTATACTACATGTACATACTTAGGTAGCCAGATAACAAGCTAAATGTTTAATTTGAAATTGTTTATGTTTTTAAATATATTATAAAAATAAACTCAAATTTCCCCCTTACCTGAAAAGAACAGAATACTATCTTATGGATATTACTATCTAATTAACAGTATCCCACTGAGGGTTTGAAATCATTGAACAAACCACTCCAAACAGGGCAGCTTCATTAACTTTATCTTGAAATCCTACAAGAAGTTAATTTTGCTCATCTGCCCAGAAAGGGCAATACTCCCTTAAGCAATTTCTGATATTGCTTATGGGAGTATCCCACCTACTTAAACAAGAATCAGAAGAAAATCTCTTTTTCCCTCTTGACTTTATTTTTTTTTATTCTTTGTTAGAATTTATCCAAGAGGAGGAAAGAAATCATTCTATTTTAAATTAATTTTTTCTTTTGGTTCATGAACTCTGATTCTCTTTGTCCAAAAATGTGTTCATAACTGAAGCATAAAACCCTTATTTTAGGCCATGGAAATAGTATTACTCACTTCTCAAATCTTGATGTTAACTTAAATTGGACGTATCAAAGAATAAAAATTTATATGTATATTTATGAGAAAGTTGATTTGCTCCAGAACTTATGCTCCTATTACACATAAGTAGCTTTTAAATATACAATGCTCTTTTTCTTCAGACTCTGATATTACAGTACCATCATTCCTGGATGTTTCTGTTCAAATATTCAGAATACTCAGGAACAGGTTCTCATTCTCACTTTGATAAATGCTGTTCTTTGGTATTTCAACAAATGTCTTTAGATTTGCACGTTAGATATGTAGGCCACTCATCTAAATCTGCACAGAATGGGACAAACTTTCTCCTTTGGGATGGGAGGAAATCTTTATTACATAAAATATTGACAAGATGTATGAACGTAGGAATTTCCAGGTATCACTGAAGAAAGACGCAGGAGTCACATGGTTGCTACTGAATCTCATGGCACCTTTTCTTCAAAATCATCTGCTGTGTTACGAGGGTTAGCAAAGGTCAGAAAGACTTGTTCCAGGGTTATCTGACCAATAGAATAGTCTTCTAAATCAAATTGCCCTTTGACTTTTTCCAAAATGCCAAACACCTTCAACAGCAAAAAAATGTTGAGTTACCTTTGTTTTTTTTTTTTTTTCTTTTTTTTTTTTTTTTTTTTTTAACTTTTTATCGGTACCAGGGATTGAACTCACGACCGCCTGCTTGCAAGGCAGGTGCTTATGCCGCTGAGCTAAATCCCCAGCCCCAAGTTACCTTTGTAATCTGTACTCCAATCCCCAAACCAGATAAGCCTCTCCTTCTCTTCCCCAGATACTGTCAAGTTTATGTTGGAGGACAAAAGGCACAGAGAAGGGAGATGAGAAATTAGAAGAAATAGGTAACTCAGAAACAGAGGAAGCTGGGGTGTGGTGGTGCATGCCTAAAACCCCAGCACTCGGGAGGCTGAGGCAATAGGATCACTGCAAGTTTGAGATCAGCCTAGACTACACAGTGAGCTCAAGACCAGCCTAAACTGCATAGTAAGACCCTGTCTCAAATTAAAAAAAAAAAAAAAAAAAAAAGAAAGAAAACACAAGAAACAGAGGAAACAGTTCTCTGTTCCATTTGAAAGGTAACCTGAAGTCTGCTGCTTCTGCAGTGCCAGGTTGCCATTCCACATGCCTGAATTCCAAGTACTTCCCATCTTTCGTGCTGTCTTATGTGTAATGCTAGAAGGGCACAGTTTCTGCCTCACCTTTCCCCAGCTATTGTCCTTGCGTGGAATGTAGTAGGTAAGGATCCCTTGATTCTCCTCCTTTAAGATACTATCTAAGAAAGAAAAATAGGACAGGTGAATAGTCTTACAGATTTCACTTAAAATTATCAAAACATTGCTACTGCTACTTAATATAAACAGTGGAAAGATGACTAGATAGGACTTACACAAAAGATGATATGACCACATAACCCTGCCTCTCTGGTATATATGGCATGGTTAATGCTTTCAGGCTTATTCCCGATGAAATTGCCTTACTATGTAGAAATAACAACAGTTACCAAGGGCAGGCCTTGTACTCTGTAACTCATCGTGGTCAGCATAATAAATTGTTAGCGCATGTGCACAATATAGAAAACCTGAGTCTTTAAAGAATTTTTTTTTTCTGGTGGTACTGGCCATTATACGTGCAGTCTTCACACTGAACTACATCCTCAGATCTATCCATTCATTTATCCATCCTTTCCTTCCTTTTCCTCTTTCTTCTGTCCTTGACAGGGTCTCTTTCAATTGCTCAGTTGCCTACTTGAATTTGCTGTCATGCTGCCTCAGCCTCCCAGACTGCTGGGATTGCAGGCATGTGCCAACATGTTCAGCTGAGCCTTAAAAAAATTGTAATGTTGGGCAACCCATCAGGACTCCTCTTTGTCTCTCAGGAGCTAGTCCTATTCCCCATTCCTTTTCTCCAATAAACTTTCCTACTCTTCTGCTATTGCTTAGAATTCATTCTTTGACTTTGGAGAACACGAACTTGGCTTATCTGAAATCTAGCATTTCCCCTGTATCATTCAGAGACTGGGAAAATGCCTGATACAGACTGGGTGTTCATTTTTGGAATGAGTGACCTTATGCGTAAACCCATCAATCACTTTTTAGTGTGTACTACAAACATATGTGCCAATAAAAATAAAAAATTAAAAAGATTAAAACCCCACTTTCCTTCCATTAAGGATCAGTGCACTGGTCTATAAAAAATTTTAATGTTATAAAAAGACTTTATTCTTAACAGTAGTACTGAGAACAGAAACAGAGAAGGTTTTTCTATTGGCTTTCAATGCATGCATGGTGTGTTTGGAGGGATGCAGTTTCATTCCATGAGAAAGAAGAGGTCATACATATAACTCATCACAGTCAGGTTGTGTGCTCTGCTTAAACTTATCACTACAAATTATTACAAATCGAATTAACTTGAAAAGGTCTTTGAAGGGTATATGAAATTGTCTTTCTTCTCTCCCTCCCTCCCTCCCTTCCTCCCTTCCTTCCTTCCTTCTTTCCTTCCTGCTTTCAGAATGAGTCTTGCTATGCAGAGTAGTCTTGCCTTGTATTCTGTAACTCACTGTAGCCTCAAATTTGCAGCGAATCTCTTGCCTCAGCCTTGAGTGTGGAATAACAATCATGTACCACTATGACTGACAGATTTCCCTAACTTTAATGCATGATCTCCACGATCATGTAAAACTTCCTTTGTGTGAAATATTTCAAACACAGAGCTTAATGACTTATTAGTCACCTGTTCACTCTCGTGTATAACTGCCCCACCTCCATATGCTATAAAAATAACCAATACGTACGTTGATATTATGGGCATTTCTTTCATGTTGTTTTTTTCTTTTGGTTTATTTATTTATTTATTTAAATTGACTAAAATTTATATTTCAGTGTGTTCAATATGTAGCTTTTTGAATTTTTTATTTTAAAGAAAAAAAGATAAGCATAAACCGTTTTAAACCAAGTTAGTAGGACAGTTACAATAGTTGATTCATTATGTATTGTTGTCTTTGTAGTAGTTATACAGAGTACATGATATAGGCATGATATCTTGTCTAAACAATATTAGCACAAAACTTTCTTTTCAAGGAATTAAGTGAAGCTAGCTATATAATTATCTTAACTATCTTATGTAGACACATATTTTTCCTTTTTCCCTTCTTTCCTTTTCCCCATCACAGTTTATCTTTTCTTTTGCACAGTTTCTTCACAATATCTATTGTATACTTCAGATAGTATTTACTGCTTCAGTTTCTCACACTAGTGAGACAATATGTTTATGCGTATGGGTCTGATTTATTTCATTTATGAATACAGTCTCTAGTTACATTTACCTACAAAAGTCTTAAGTTTATTCTTCTTTATGGCAAAGTAGTACTCCATTACCTAAAAAACACATTTTTTTTTATGTGTTCCTTATTTGATGGGCACTTGGGTTGTTTTTAAGACTTAGCTGTTACAAATTGTGCTGTTGGGAACATGAGTGTGCATGTATCACTGTAGTATGATGTCTTTAATTTTTTTCAGGAAGATACCCAGAGGGGGAATAGCTGGGTTGAGTGGGACCTTTAATCCTAGTTTTTTATTTCACAGTGGTTACACCAGTCTACACTCCCACCAACAGTGGAGAAAGGTCCCTTTTTCCCCACAGCCCCACCAGCATTTGTTATGGGTTGATTTTTTCATGGCAGCCATTCTTTCTGGGGTGAAGTACTTCAATTCATCAGTGTTCACAGTTCTCAGTTCAGCATGTGGTTTTGATACATGTATACATGTAGAAGTACTAAATGAAGCTAACATTCAGCCCCTCATATATTTGAGTGTGTGTGTTTGTGTGTGGTTAGAACACTTAAAATTTATTCTCAGGGATTTTCAATAATATAGTGATTAATTATAGTTACCATGTTGTGCAGTGAATCTGAATTTATTCCTATCTAGCTGAAATTTTGTATCCATTGGCCCTCGTTGTCCCTACCTTATCCCACATCAGTCTCTAGTAACCACCCATCTATTTTTTACTTCTAGATGCTCAATTTTTTTAGATTCCACATATAATACAGGTCATATAGTTTCTGCTTTTCTATATCTAGCTTATTTCACTTAATATAATGCCCCCTGCATTTACTCATGTTGCCACAAATGGTAGAATTTCCTTTTTTTTTAAGGCTAGTACTCCGCTGTGTATTTATATAACATTTTTAAATCCATCATTTCTTAATAGGCATGTTTCCATGTTTATCACTGTGACTAATGCTGTAATAAATATGGAGGTGCAGCTTTTTTGACATTGATTTGCCTCCTTTGGATATATAGTCATGAGTAGGACTTCTGGGAGATGTTAGCTCTATTATTAATTTTTTGAGAAACTTTTCTATAAAGGCCATACTAATTTAAATTTCTACCAACATTGTGCTAGCATTCTCTTTTTCTACACCCTTATCAACAATTGTTATCACATCTGTTTGACAATAGCCATTTGAACAGGTATGAGGTGTTACCTCATGAGAGTTTTGATTTTCATTTCTTTGGTGATTAGTGATGTTGACATTGTTTTCATGTATCTGTTGGCCATTTGAATGTCTTCTTTGGAGAAGTATCTATACAAGTCAAGTCCTCTGCCCATTTTTCAGATCAGGTTATCTTGGTTCTTTCTTTTTGTTTTTGCTACTGAGTTGAGTCCCTTATGTATTTTGAATATTAACTACTTATCTGATACATGTTTTGCAAATGTTTTCCCCAATTCTGCAGATTGTCTGTTCATTCTGTTGATTCTTTCCTTGGATGTCCAGAAAGGTAGGTTTTTTGTTTTGTTTTGTTTGGTACTTGGATGCAGTCCCATTTGATTATTTTTGTTGTGATCTCATTTGGAATCCCAGTGGTTTTTTGGTACCAGGAATTGAACTCAGGACCTTGTGCTTGCCAAGCAAGTACTTATGCCACTGAGCTATATCCCCTCCCATTTGATTATTTTTGTTTCCATTTATTTTTGTTCTTATTGCCTGTGCTTTTGGACTAATATATAAAAAATCAGTTCCCTTTTTTATTATCCTATTTGATTAGCTATTTTCTCAAGAATGACATAAGGAAGGGCTGAGCAACAACCACTTTTTACTTGTAAATGCACTTCAAACTCACGTTCCTGTTAAAATGCTTGGGTCCACATTTTTGAGAGAGGTCAGTGTGTGGTGTCCCCACTTCAACAGGGCACGATGCTAGGACACCTCATTGTAAACGAAGTTCTCCAGTCACAGCTTTTCCTTTGTGGTGATTTAGGAACCACATCAAATAAAACTTAGATATGATAAATACTCAATAATGTTTGACAAATGAGTGTTTGACATTCCCGTCTGCATTTTTCATAGGAACATCATAATCACTACATCTGTTTTATCATTTATTTTTACCTGTTTTCCAATCTCCATTTCTACTGTGTAATGAATCATATTATTTTCCATAGCCTAGAAGATAAGCCTAACTCACAGAAGAAACTTTTGTTATATTTTATTCAGTCTAGCAAAGTAAAAACTAAGATGAAAAACCACAATTAATAAGTCTTTCTAATGCCTGTGCTTTAAGTTTAGGAAAGAGAGTTAAGTAGGGGAGAAAAAGAAATAATTGCTGTCATTTGCATTGCATTATGAAGATAGAGAAGTGTTTACTGAATTTGTCCCTCAGATCCAGAAGGATTATTTAGAGGAAAGAAATATTTGCTGGATCTTGTTTTGTTTGTTTCTACTTGGTTTTTTTTTGACACAGAATCTCATTATATAGTGCAGGATGGCTTTGAATTCACTATGTAGCCCAGGCTTGCCTTGAACTCCTGGCTATCCTCTTGCCTCAACCTCTCCAGTGCTAGGATTAGAGGCATGCACCACCATACCCATACTTATTGGATCTTGCTTACATTTCAAAACCATATCCTTGCCAAGGCAGCAAAAAATCAGTTTCATGGTGTGTGTGTGTGTGTGTGTGTGTGTGTGTGTCTGTATGTGTGTGGTGTGGTGGTGGTGGAACCCTTAAAACTTTGCCTGGGTAATATATGAAAAGAATTGAGAATTATGCTAAAATTATAACCTTATAATTTATATGGACAATATACACAAAGATAAAACTGCTTTAGGAGTGATGCAAGACCACTTTAGTAGGTGACAACCTCTGCCTTTTGTAAACATCATAATTTGTCACAAGTTTGTAGTAACAAATATTTCTAAAGGAACATCATGGAAGACCTATGAATATGTGTCTTCGTACTTTCCTTGTTGTTCAGATACAGCTTGAAGGAGAAGAGGCTTATTAAAATTCTCAATTTTAGGGGCTGGGGATTTAGCTCAGCGGCATAAGCACCTGCCTTGCAAGCAGGCGGTCGTGAGTTCGATCCCCGGTACCAATAAAAAAGAAAAAAAAAAGATTCTCAATTTTAGAAGTTTCCGTCCATGCATGACTGGCTGGCTTCAAGGGTGAACTGGCATTGTGGAAGAGCCTGGCAGATGAAAGCCACTCAGATCATGGAAGCTAGGAAGCAGAGTGAAGGGAGGAGCCCCCAAGGGAGATAGCTACCCTTCCAATTCATGCCCTCAGTGACTTGCCTCTGTGTCCAGGCCCATTTCCTAACAAGTCAGCTATCGTGCCCCATAATCCAATCACCCTCCAAATACATGAGGCTTTTGGAGCCATTTTAGATCTAATCCATAACAACTGATAGTAAAGACATGAATCACATGGATGATGATTTCTAACAAAGTTAAACAATTTACCTGGAAATGTCATTGTGATGAAATTTTTAAAATCCTGTAGTTTATCTGGAGTCTTGAGCTTGACCTTCAGAATATAAAAATTGCCAAATTTGTTCTTGAGATACTGAGGGCTTCCCAAACACATGAATGTCCCCTTCACCATGATGGCTAGCCTGGTACAGAGGGCCTCACATTCCTCCATGCTTGCAAAACAAGAGAGCAGAATAATGTAAGACTGTAAAGTTTCCCTTCGGATAAAATTGTTTTGTTTCAATCACAGCCAGGATTGTGGCTCTATTTTTAATCAGAATTTGTATTTGCTAATCACTAAGCTCAGAGTTGGGAGGTATATGTTTAAAAAATGACAAACAACACAATATTCAATTCTCAAATGAATACAATACTTCCCAAATTTGTGTCTTCTTGATTTTTAAAAATTCACTGAGGATTCTTGGCCATATGAATCATAATTCCTGTGAGAAGCTCATATATTGAAGCAAGTTTATTGACTAATACAGTATTCCTGGCTCCAAATAATTGCCTCCTTTAGACACTAAAACTACTTCCAACCCTTAATCAAGCCTACCAATGAACCACACCTATGAGACGTTATGACGACAGCTTTTCCACCTTCACGTATGTTTATCACTGTGTTCCAGAGCAGGCGTCGAGCCACTGGATCCATGCCAGTTGATGGCTCATCCAAGAAGACAACTGAGGACTTTCCCATTACAGCAATAACAGCATTCAGCCTACGTTTGTTTCCTCCACTTCATGGTCAAGAAATGAGAAAGAAAATGGGAGAAAAGGGTGCTATACATTTCAGTTACAGGAAGGTCTGTCTTAGCACAAACATCCCAAATGCTGAGGTTTTTTTTTTTTTTTTTTTTTTAAATTGGTACCGGGGATTGAACTCACAACTGCCTGCTTGCAACACAGGTGCTTATGCCACTGAGCTAAATCCCCAGTCCCATGCTAAGAGTTCTAACAAACACCTAGACTCTTTACATGGACACCTACAATGCTGATTAGCTATAACTTTAACAAAGCAGTAGGCCCAAGTATACACACACACACACATATACACACATGTACTTTCATACATGCATACACATATCACAATTTTAACTTGAGATATAAAGAAGTGATTTTTACGTGTCTGATTTTGGCAGCATTACCTGTGTATGTATTTACTTGTTTGTGTAGTATCATGGTTTCCTAGGTATATAGACATCATAATTCAAAGGGTCTACATTCTTTTTTGTTTGAAAGACAAGCATGAGAACACCAGGATGAAGATACTTCCTTTCAGTATTTAGAGGCTATAGTTCAAATAGGATTTTGAGTAAAGACATGGAAATACATGCATCTGCCTTATTACTGACATCTGAAACCTAGCAGAATATTAGATAGTGTTACAATTAGGTAACTGTACAACAGCAGGGTTTACATGGAGCTGTGTGCATTTATTGCAGATATCAGGAACATAGGGAAGCACTTCAAGATTAGCAGCATGAACAAAAATCTGGCAGCATAATGACTAACCTGTAGGTGCTGATAAGATTGTTGGCATGAGGCTCCAGTTCCAGTGAATTCAAATGTTTTTTCACATATACCGGAATCTGGTGTTCAGCGACTCCCCATACTCTGGCATACATGGTTATTATCTCCCGACCAGTCATATATTCCAACAAAGCATCACACTGAGGACAATAGCCAATTCTTGACCTCACCTAATTAAAAAAATTGCCCTAAGTAAAAACAAGTCATCTGTCCTGCAAACATCCACAGATGAGACAGAACACCTCAGTCCTCCAGTCCATGCTTCCAAGAGCCATACCAAGAATTTTTAAAGCCCTGTCTCCAATGTTTTGGTTTTATTCTTTACTGTTTTGTTCAATTTTATTATAACTGATGATATAGGCAATTCTTTTTAAGATAGCAAGAGGCAGTATGGTAACCATTGTTGATCACCTAGTATTTTGTTTTTACATTATCTATTATGTCCATCCTTTAGATTTGACTGACTCTGTTCTGTTAGGTCACATTTGGTTTTACTCTCTTCAAAAAAAAGTAATTAGAACTGTGGGAATAATAAAACCCAAAATGTGTAATTGTCATTGTACAAAAGAAAGGAAAAGAAAGTGCTCTAAAGAATATAACCGCATATATATTTAAGTGTATACAATAGATAACAATATTACCGAGTTTTGTTGGATCATTGAACAAAACTGTTTCCAGTCTCACTGTTTGAAAGTCCACTTTATATGTTTTAATTTTGTAACTTGAACAACTATTTTAAGATAACAATATGTAATCTGTTAACTAGTGATTTCCTATTGTTTATTTTTTCTGAAATTCTGTATAACTTGTACCCTTTTTCTGTTTTTTTTCTCCTTAAATAAAAAATAAATAAATAAAAAAGGTATAAAATTATGTGTTGGACCTATTGTAATACCTTGGAATTACAGATTCCCTGATTCCATTCTAATATTCTTGAGACTGAAGAAGCTAGAAATAAAATTCTAGAGCCCACTCTCTTTGGAGAAGTATTTGGATACGTTTTATTCTTTAACTGGGAGCCCCAGTGGGGATATTTCCCATAGATGTTTGTTCACTGCTCAACCTCGACATCCATATACATACATACCTTTGATGGTAAACTGAACCAAAAACAAAATTACCCCCTATATGAACAAACAGGACACTAATGGAATACTACTTTAGAAATTGGTCAAATATTTCTATTGATTTTTATTCAGGTGCAAAACAGTTATTAATTTACATTGATCCTGGATTATTCATGACCCTAGACTTGGTATAGTACAAACCCATTACAGCAGTAGCAGTATTTAGCCTACATTTGTTTCCTCCACTTAATAGTTAATAGATGGAAAAGAATATGGGAGAAAAAGATGCTATACGTGTCAGTTACAGGAAAGACTTAGCATAGACATCCTAAATGCTGAGAGTTCTAATAAATACCCTATGGCTAAATCAATTTTTAGTGGACTTAAAGGGCTACCTAGCATCATTCCCACACTCAAATTCATTTTTCTAGTTTTATCTTTTTCACATTTATATGATAGAGTCTAGGACATTATTAAAAAAAAACTTTTGTACAAATAAAATTAGAAAGTGATTGCATGCATTCAGCCAGGCTGAGAGAAAGACCTGAGATGATCCTAAATTATATATCAGGCTGATCCTAAATACCGAGACAGGCTGAAATAAACAAAAATCCCCAAAACAATCAACAACAAAAAACTAAACTAATCTAGCAAATTCAAGAGAATGGGAGAGAATATGATGTCTAGAGTTACCACTTTGTTAGAGTTAAATGTCCAGATAAAGAAATAGAAAATATGGTCCATCAAAAGGGAAAAAAATAAACAGAAACTCTTCCTGAGAAAAGTCCCAATGGCAAGTTTGCTAGACAAACAGTTTAAAAAACAATCAGATGCTTAAGTGATTAAATGAGGGACTGAGAGGGTGGTTCATGGGTGGAGTCTTTGTTTAGCATGCATGAAAGCCTGGGTTGAAATATTAGCATTGGAAAAAAAAAACTAAAGGAAAATGTGGGAAATTCTAAGAAGAGTGTACAAAGTAGAAATATCAATAAAAAAGAGCATCAATAGAAACAATAAAATGGAGATGAAAACTATTAACTAAATATGATTTAGAATTGAAAATGGCTGAATGGGGTATGAACTACTCACCTCCTCCACAAAGAAGAATCAGGAAAACAGATACACAGCAGTATTTTGAGGTGAGTGACAATGATTGAATACTGGAAATCATCAAAAGACCAGGAACTAGGGCTGGGGATTTAGCTCAGCGGCATAAGCACCTGCCTTGCAAGCAGGCAGTTGTGAGTTGGATCCCCAGTACCGATAAAAAGGAAAAAAAAAAAAAAAGACCAGGAACTTACTTAAGACTGAGGGATTTCAGAGGATATCATATAAAGAGAAACAAAGCACCCAGGCCAGTGCTGGATTCACAGTCAGAAAGGGGAGTGATATGCCTTTATAGGGAAAATGAAAGACTCCCAGAAAACACTATCTGTCTAATCCTAACTACTGGACAGTTGCACAGGCTTCACAGGTGTATATTCTAATTATGTGAGCAATCTGCACTTTATATAGTAGCTTTGCACTGGATAAGGATTTTACATTATCTTTCAGCAAAAATCCAGGCTCCTGAACCTAGATGCCATCTTTAAAAAATAACCTATTGTCTAAATTCATATTCCTATAAGGATCAGAAAACACTGAATATTCTCATCTTTACCCTGGAATCCCATAGACATCCCACTGTACTGGCTTTGGGGTTGCAGCCTTTCAAACCCATCTCCGTCTAGCAGTGTGACTTTGGTCACAGCACTGAAGCCCAACTGGGTCCCCTATGTTATAGGAGAAAGGTATAGCAGCACAGAGCAAAATGGAAGGTGTTGCTTTTCAGTGCCAAGAGAACATGGTACTTACCTTTAAGAACACAGCAAGATCTTTGTGTGTAGAAGACCACTTGGATGGCTCTCCTTGGATGCAGAACAGTTACCTCCACATTAAAATGGGCCCTGTCTCCATGTATGTACAGAGTTAGCTACGCTATTTGCTTCAGTTGACTCTAAGCAATGTAAATAAGGCTAGCTGAGGTACTTATGTGTAATCTTTGAAACCAGCCAACAATTTCTTATTTCCTTGCCTCATGTCTCCCTATAAATGGTTGAACACAGCAGGATGGCAGAGCCACATAGCTCCCGCAATATCAACTGGGTTTGAGCCTCAAGATGAGAGGTTATGACTTCCCATGGCACAAAAGTTTACATATCGGAAACTCAAGCAGCAGCCTCCTTATATTCAAATGTTACCCCCAAGTAGTTATACAAATTGGTCTTTCTGCATACCCTTCTTTTGGTATATTATAGAGCTGCTTTCTGGCCACTTGGCTAGCTCAGCTCACATTACCCATGTAATTTCCACCATTTTCACCATCGTTCATCATTGAGCCACTCCTTCATGAATTAATAAATTCTGAGTGAGGCTCTAGGTTGAGGCCTTTGTCCCATGAATCCTCACTTGAATCAGAATCCCTTAGCTGCCCCTAACTATGAGTATGTTTTAGTGTCTTTATTCTCACTGTGGGTTGCACTGGAGGTGGTAAATTGGAATTAACTCACTGGGATTCCAATAATGTTTTAATGGGATTACAAATACAAACTTTCTGCAAGGACGGCAAGGGGGATGAGAAAAGGGATTACAATATTTGGTGCCCAACATGGGGCTCAAACTCATGACCCTGGGATTAAAAGTCTGATGCTTGTGTGTTTGTGAGTTTGAGGGGGCTAGGGATTTGTATAAATGCCAGGACAGAAGGTCCATTGACATGACTGGGTGCTGGTTGCTGAAAGGGTAGAGAAGAAACAACCTTGAGATCATACTAAAGGATCAGTGAGGAACTCCATGCCTCTAACCACTTCCCTATTCTTAGATAACTGCTGCTGAAGGCCAGGAGGAAAACTGTGGCTTTAGCAGTTGCCCTGCCTCTGAGAATGTGCTGTTAAAGTGACTGGAAGGAAACAGTAGTTCTTGCTGATGGCCTGAGTATGTGGTTGTCATGGCTGCCCTCTTTATCCCCAAATGCTTCTGGGTACGTGACTGTCAGGGCTGGGCATAAGCACCAGAGAGAAGGTACTGCACATCTCCATGTGCAGTGTCTGGGCCCATACTACTACCTGGTCTAGGGGCAGGTGCCTCTGGATCCAAATCACTTACAGGGCTGCCAGTGCCAAAGGCCCTTGACAGTGAACTAGCATTAACAGTTCTTGAACAAAACCTCCATCACCCAAGTTGGACCATTGCTCTTATTGTAGGAGTGGCCACATGAGAATTCTATACCCACCACTGTCTGAACCATACCTATTTTAGCTGCTAGAGTGCTCTTATTCAAACATGGCACAAATAAAATGGGTCTTATCAAGTTCACCATGATATGCAGTATGCCCAGAGTTATCTGTTATAGCCACAGAAGCAAGAAGGAGACATTATGGTGCCTAGCTGAAAAAAGGAAACACTGAATATTAAATCAACTCTCCAAGAAACATCTTTAGAAGAAAGCCACTTACTAAGAAGGCTAACCTTTAAAGTGGTAGAAGTAGCTGATATATCAGATGCACAAGTATCAATGTAGGAGTGGAAGATATAAAAAAAAATAAAGTAACAAAATGCCTTAAAAAGAATACAATTATTCTTCAGGAGCAGCTTCCAAATAAAATATGAACCAAATGTCTTAAATAATTTGGAAGAATACTTATACAGAGGCTCACTGAGATCCAGGTGAATATTGATAGGTTGTTGAAACAAATTAAGAAAATAATGCTTGATATGAATCAGAAATTTAGCAAAGAGATAGAGATTTTGAAAAAAAACAAAATCTTGGAAATAATTTCAATTAGTAAAAAATTTGGTTGAAAGCCTCAACAACAGACATTATCAAGTGGGAGAAAGAATATCTGAAGTCAAAGGCAAATATTTTGAATATTCTACTAACAGACACAAAAGGAAAGAAAGAAAAATAAAGACCACTTGAGATCTTTGGACACCATTAAATGAACAAGTATCTAATTGCAGATGACCCAAAAGGCAAGAAAAAATTTAAGGGCATAGAAATGCATTTGATAAAATAATAGCTAAAAATTCTCTAATTTTGAGAAAGATATAGATATCCACATACA